TCCGCTATCTGGATGAGATTTTTCCGGAAGGAGCGGAGGAAACGTCTGTTTGACAATAGATACCCGATCAATGTCGGCGGGGAGGGCTCCGGCCTAAATAGGGAGCGAAGAAAGAGATATGTAGGTATTTAAAGAGGCGGAGGGTGCCGCCTCTTATCGGCCCGCCGGGCACCGCTAATACCCGCAGATGTCTCCTGGAGTTTTCTTCATTTCCGCCCCTGACGGGCGGTGAAGAAGGAAGGGTGGGCGAAGGTGGGCAGAGGGTGGCTGGGGGCGGCAAAAATGACACGCCCCCACACAGCCCTTTGCCGCCCCCAACCCTCCCTTCAAAGCTTAAATTGCAAAGTGACAAGTTTGTCATTAATCAGCCGGCAGGTAAGTTTCTTGATAACGCCCTTCGTTACGTAAAGATCGCCGCTTTACAAAACTTTTGAGAAAGTTGATGTGTTTATATTAAAGTTATTAAAACATGTCAACGATAATGCTGACGTAAGACTCTTGCATGCGCAAAGTTTGACAACGCACAAATTGCTTACTTAAAATCTTCTGTGGAACCGATATTTTCAAGATGAAAATAAGACTCTTCTTAATTAAGAACCAACTTTTAGCAATTTATTCATTTCCCTCTTCCCTCAACAATCATCCCAAGTTAACTGATTTGCACCAGGAACAACAGCCTTGTACTATCAGCAGTGAACAGCTGTAAACGGTTATCTAAATATTGTTCCTTTGACCATCCTTACGCTTAGTGCTAATTATATTCAATATTCGTAATATGCACATTTTTAACTAAGTACCAACATTTAGCAATTTATTCTTTTCCCTCTTCCCTCTACAATCTCAAGTTAACTCATTGGCACCAAACAGCTTGGACCTATCAACAGTGAACAGCTGTAAACCGTTATCTAAAGATTGTTCCTTTATCCTTACGTTTAATGCTAATTATATTCCAATATACATAATATGTATATTTAGATTATTAATATGTGTAGCTCTGACAAACCAGAGTTCACAGATTTTCATACGAGTTGAAAAAAAAGTTACTTTGTGTCATCAGGGATGAACAGTCAGAAACTATTATCTGTTTCTATTGACCATTCTTGTTACACCGTCAGTGGCTAATTGTCTTCCATTATTCATTGGTTGAATATTTAGATTATTAATATGTTAAGGTACAAATTGTTATGAAATCGATTTATTTCCATCTGAATAGCATTTCAAACAAGAGCATTTTACCATTAAAATAATACTTCTTACTTGAAAAGCAATTTTTAGCAATTTATTCTGCTGTCTTTGTTCAAGGACATTCTTTCCTCCAATTACTACCTTTATCCTTCCAAGTTACCTCACTGACCCGTACTTCCGAGTCATTGATGGGCCCGAGTCATCCCAAAACCCTTGCCTGTGTACCTCTGACCTTCAATCCCATCCTCAAACCACCACCCAAACATTTGCAGAAAATACAGCGATCCTTTGAAGTAATTCCGATACAGTCGTTTCCATTAGAGACCTTCAGGAACACCTCACACTACTGAATTATCCAAGAAAAATCCATTCACCCAATCTTCACTCTCCACAAAAAAATCCCTTCTACTGTCTACTTCAATGGGGCAAGGTGCGGTACCTAGGACTATATATTGTCAAACGCCTGACGTGGGATCCTCACACTGTTTAAACAACAATCAGTTACATGTTACAGGGTTCTTTTACGACTTCCTGATAAACGCTCTAACTTCTTCTCTTAAAAGGCTGCTTTGTAACACCATTGCGCGGACTTACGGACTGGACGTGTAAGGTTCATCCAAACATTCCAACATCCTCCGCATCCAAGAGCCCAATCCTTAGGTAATCCTTAGAAAACTACCTCATGCTCCGTTTTTTATGTCCAAAGAAATAAACAATAAAGACTTAAATATTCCTTTTGTCCTAGATGTAATCCACTCTCATTATCGCTAGTTTGATACAAATCTTCCAATCACCATAAATCCTCAAATACAAAAACTCTCATCCAGACGAATTACCATAAAACCTCGCTGACCAAAAAGACGATGACGACGGGATGTTCATACCAGTGACAGTGAAACAGCTCAATTAAGTAAAGAACACGAAGGACCCGTAAGAGAACTGCTAAAGGTAGTTTCTGCACCCTCGTTTATTTATTTTATTTTATACCCTCACTGTTCCTCGTTACCCATTTGAAAGTAGTTGTAATATGAAAATAAATTAAAAAATTATCTTTTCTATTTTTGCTTAACGATATCAATTTTAATTTATTTGCACTAGGAAGAAAAATGTAAAATATGAATATCGATAGACATGGAAACAGGTCATCAAGAGCGTACACTCAGAAACTGTTATCTACAGGTAGTTAGATGTTACCATATAAATTGACCATCCGCGTTTATGTTCGTTAATTGTCTTCCAACATACATAGTATATCGGTTTTTATAAGATTTATACGTGTAGCTCTAACAAGTGACGTAGAATTCATGAATTACTGAAGAATGATTTTGTAACAAAAACATCTACATTTAAACTGTCAAAACTCCAAAAAATCGACAAACTCTCTCTCTCTCTCTCTCTCTCTCTCTCTATATATATATTCNCTCTTTCTTCTTTTCTCTCTCTCTCTACCTCTCTTTATCTCTTACTCAACCATTCCTTGCGTGAAAAATAATAAATGAATTAAACTAAAATAATTAGTATTATGAAACATAACCAGTTTTATTTAAAAATGTTATCCACATTATAATTATTACTGCCAATCTCTAACTGGGCTGATGTTTAGCTATAAATATATCTGGAAAATGTATACTTTATATCAGCTGTTATATGAAAAAATAAGTGATCTTTGCATATATCTAGAATTTTTATAAATAACTATAAATTAAAGAACTGTTATTTTTTATATAATTACTTGAATTCTATTTTTATCTCTATTTTAAAGCCAAATCTGTTAGGTCGTTTTGCTTCTGTGCACTATAGAATTAGAGACAATAATAATTGACAAATAAAAACCGCATTGTACCACCATGCATATGTCAAATAATAACGGTCGATACGAGGAAATAATGAGTAGTAGTTTCTCATTTGAGAATCCGTGGTATTTCCTGTCAGGAAGGACAATTTTGCTTTATTTGTTGTGCCGACGGAATTTATAATAAAGCTAAAGCGTAACTGGAATTATTATTATTTTTTGTTAATTTCTACGTGTTAACACTTGGCACTTGTGTGATAGTTGTTTTCTTTGTTAGCTTGTATGTTAAATATGAATCGAATGAGTTGAAATTCACAGCATTGTGTCAAATCAACGCATTTGTGCAAATCAGGATTTTTGAAATCTTCACAAAATTTTATTTGTTAGGATCAAACGTTCTTAAGTCAAATTTGCATAGTAAAGTAAATAGCAAATATATTTAGCCCAATAAAAAAGTAATAAGGGATAAAATGTGTTACACATGTGCAAAATATTACTAGAATTAAGGTAAAAATTAAAAAAAAGTATTGAGCAATAGAGTAATCTGTGCGAAGCTCAAATGTTATATAGATCACGAGATAATTCAACTTAAAAGAAAAACGAAAAGACATCGAGTGGAGAAGTGATAGCATTATTAAATTAGAAATCATCACTTAATCACTCGCACTCTTGAAGAGCAGGTCACGGGGCCACTGCCTTTTCAGACGTCGAGGAAGATTGCTGGGAAGAGGTCGGAAGGAAAGTAGTGTACAAGGGGATTGGTTGGTGTGGGATTTTTTGTTGCTGTATTTAAAACAGCATTTAAAGGTGAACATGGTCGTCATGGATGATGGGTTAGCAACATAGAACGTTGACGTTGGATCTAAGGATTCGTGATTGTAATGTCCGGATTGTGCGGAAATTGGGAGGTTTGGTTGAACCCCATAGTTCTATGCCGTATGTCTATATTGGCTTCAATATTGAGATGTATCCATTATATTTCGTGGTCCGATTGACCTTGTTTAATATTGGTTGAAATGAAAAAGTTAGTGTCACGAGCGGGATTCGAACCCACGACCTTCGGCTCAATACGTTCCTACTCTAACCACTTAAGCTATTGTGACATCAAATGGTCGTAGGTTCAACGTTCAGTTCCAGGTGAGACGTTTGTTAGAACCCTAGATAACGAATGTCATTTTCGTTGGAAAGGAGGTGAAGTTTAATAGATTGGAGGTGCGACGAGAGTGAAGATTTTGGGACGTTCTGGTGTTCAGTTTCATTCGCCATTTTTTAAATCATTTTTCAATGGAATATTGGTGCGTCCGGAGGGTTCGTGATGACAGAGTCGGAGTTAGAGGATAGAATGGCAGTGTCGTTAAGTGGTGTTCGGGATGGGAAAGCATATGAGCAAGCAGTATGTACAGAGTAAAGTAGCGGGCCGAGAACGCTACCCTGTGGTACTTTTTAAAATTATTTTAGAGCAATAAAATTTCTTATATTCTTTGCCTAGCTAGCAACGCAATTACAGAACTTACAGAAAATATCATCTACAGTATTTCATTCTGTCTATCGCCACCTCTTCATGAATAACGAAGAATATTTTTGTTTTATGGGGAAATTGATTGAATATTAAAAATTCATAGTTAAATATCTCAAAATTAGTTGGGTTTCTTTTTTTCAGGAACATTCTGAGATATTATGGACTTTCACGAGGAATAAGGTTACTGGTACGCCTATAAACGCTGTGGTTATACTTTATGCGCCCGTTGAAACTATTGCCTAGGCCTTACAAGATGTCTATTTCTAAACAACAAGAGATATACCGCGGAATTCGTTTAATTATTTAATTAGTAATTTATTAGTATTTGTTGAATAAACAATGAAAATGCTTTTGAAGGTTGACTAGCGATGGATTTTCCTGGTATCTGATTCGAATCGGAATAAAGTTACATATTTCTTCAAAATTCTCTTTTCTTCCCTATCGTAACATGATATTTTGTGCAACTGAGGTTTATGGTCGATCTAACGTGGTAATTTGTTCCAGGGCGTTCGTTACCCGTTCACTGCGTCGTCGAAACCGTATGGAGCGTCGAGCACTTGGGCAGGAGCTGCGGTCAGAGGAGGCCGGCGTTGGAAGTCGACAGTTATGTCATCATTCCTGTCAACACCACCCTGCAGGATTTGGTGTCCGTCGCGTTGCACAGACTCGGCTACTCGAAAGACAACGCCGCGGCCGCTAAAGGTAAGCAATTTTATTGTCAAACAGTTAACCACCCTTCTCTGACAATTTGACTATAAATGGACAGCGACAATGAACCTTTGTCATTACATAAGCAATAATATTTGAAAACTCCAATAATCAAAATAATAATACCGGTCTAAAAGTATATTTTATATAAATCTATCAAACTGTTATCCTTCAATTCTCATATACTCTCAACAACGACAATTTCCCACTAAATTGTGTTAAGGTAATAACGTCAATGGATGGTATGTGCCTGATCTCATCAAAATCATTAGGATTATTCACTATCAAAAAGTTATTTTTACTAGTTAAAATATATTTAAACAATTATACTGGCAAATTTATTTTAGGGAATAGTGCCGGAAAATATAGAGTATAGAGCCGAAAGATAATCACTTGGAAGCATTTACATTTGTATTTATTAGCAACATTATTAAGGTTGGAGCATTCCGCCCACCAAAGTTCAAATAAACTAAATTCAGTCCGTAGGAATCGTAGTGTGGTTTGTTAGTAGTTAGATTATTTTTAATGACCCACAGCTTAACATCAGCGGAATAGCGATTCGGTTACCGCAGGTTCGAGCACCTAGGTCTAAGCTATTCCTCTGTGGCGAATCTGGACAATATCATCGCGTTCGAAGAGATAGCACGCTGCTTGGCCGGGTCTCAAAGCTGAGTCGTTTCTAGCTATAGAAGATAGTCCTTTCACGCGCTATTTAATACAGAGGAGGGTCTACCGTCTGGTAATAGATACCCCAACAATCAACGCGCTGCATAAGCTCGATGGGACATTGGGCATTCGTAAAGGAGATTTTTCATTTATTCATTCCACTCCGAATGGCCTAATATACGCCAGTAGCAAAGACGGCGACTGGGATACCCGGTCCCTATGGCGCATCTTTGGGCTGGCCTGGCCCTTGTGGATTTACGAAGCCAACAGGTGGGTATGCGCGGGGATTTACGTGCGCTGGCCAAACTATTTCACCGGAGGGAGTTGGATAATTGGGCGGTCTTGGGGGCAACCAGTCACGGATTTAATCCCTGTGCCGGTGGGCAATCGTTGGATCTCTGGTGGATCTTTGATCCGCCAGGAGTCTTGGTTGTTGTCCTCTTCATGAGGAAATTCAATGGACACCAGGGGGGCGTTGGAAGGGAAGACTGGAGTGTGCTGGCCGAATGTTGGAGATATGGGGCCGGTACAAAGACGCTCTCGCACGCCCTTTCGATGTGCTCAGACATTCGCTCTACGATAAAGTTCTCCTCGCCGGTCTTCCTGATACGGGCTACTAGGGCGCAGTCGAGGATGGAGTAATTATCTTAAACTTCGTGAGGGCATATGAGATTTCGGGCGGGTTGGACGCGGTGGCGGACCTCAAGGCACAAAAGTACAGGGCGCTGAATAGTACCCTTACAGAGCTGCCGGGAAAAGTTTTGAGGAGGCCGGTGTAGTACTGGGGGCAAGAGGATGCATAACTGAGTGTATAAAAAAGATTCTCCGGGATCTCAGCCTTTAGGACCCTCCCTTCAGGTTTGTCGCTGTACATTACCTGCAGCCATATGGATCGGGAGCGCAGCTTTTCTGCCACCCATCAAGTGTTGGTGGCTGTGGAGATGGCCACGAAATATGACGAACCTCGGCAAACCGATACTATACGCATGTACCTGAGGAGCGGCAGAAGCAATATAAAGTAGGTGAGACCGCACTATAGGAAACAAACACAGGGAGAGGCCGGAAAGAGGTTATGCTTTCGTTAAAATAATCAATAAACATTCTCTAAACAGTTGAAGTCATAATTATGCGATCAGAACATTACTACAGGTCTATACATTTAATGTTTCTATCATGGTATAACTATAAAATGTCATTCGTTCTATTAACTTCTGTAGTTTCGCGTTTTTTTTTTTTGTTTTTTTTTTGTTTTTTTTTTAATTTCGTAGTAACCAAACTCTCCTCTAATTCGTTCTTTCGTTAAGTTGTCATAGCCATTCAATTAGCCGGCGTTACTCTGTTTTCATTTCATGCATTATATGACTATAGTCGACGGCTTAGTAGACACTTTAGGGGCGATCTAGCTTCTTTATACTGAAATGTGAAACCCATCGGATATACAGTGTTTTCTCAAAAGACATCTCTCATATATACCGAAGGTTTCTAATTCAATAACGATTACAGCACAACGCACACTCACAGGACGTAAAAACCCTATTATAACACTAACTTTACTAATTTGACCGGTATGTTTGATATTCTATATTTCGCCGCAGACCCGTCCATATACCCTTAGACATTCACGCAAATAAATACATTTTTGTAAGTAGAACTTTTCAAACCGTATGTGCAATTAAAAATTGGGGAGGCACTGGAATATCCGATAGTACATCGGTGTCTGGCTCTCCTATCACACTGCACACATTCATTATATTAATTAATCTAACTTATTTGATAAGTCTGTGGGGTTATCTATATTCCGCCACATACCCTTCCAAATTCACTTTACCAAGCACGCTAATATATGCAATTATAACAAGAAAAAACCACCCAAAAAACATTTCACGAATAATTTTTTCCTATATGACTATGATTTGTTTTTTAGCATTTTCAAACGCGCTCCCCCAGCGTCGCTAGGCATATTGTATAGTGCATAGTATATTTCTTGGGGCATCTGTTTTGTACTAAATAAGTACGAGAAAACCATTTTAGGCCTAACTATTTCTAATTTTATGGACTTACATATCATGGACGTTCATGAGCATTTCATTCACCAAGACGACTCACATTTGATTGCATTTGCATTTCTAAATCCTTCTAATATTTATGGTAGTAATGAGCAGCAGTATCATCTGCATAAGCTGTTAATGCTCCTTGTAGATTTTCAGTGCACAAAATGACGTTAACATACACTAAAAAGAGAAGGGGACCTAACATGGAGCCTTGTGGAACCGTATTGACTTTTTTGTATTCATATTTTGTATCATCCAACTTTTGATTTAAAACTTAATTATATAGGGTGCGAAAAGTTTTTGAAATTCTAGTAACCTTCGTACCATGATTCAGATCATGGTAGAAGCCAAACTGCTAAATTGAAATAAACTAAGTATACATGTTTTTATGCTGTCAGTGATTAGTAGTACACATTAAAATGTTTTTTAAGCCTTGTAGCTATACCTGAAGCTCCTGTCAGTTTATTCGAATTTTGCTATTTTCTTGTAACGCTTTCACTGCTTTGCTTTTACGTTAAGTGTTGTCTTAATTAGACGAACCTAATGCAAAAAATATGTTTTTAAAAGATATTTTTTAAATAGTAAAATTCCTGTATGTGGAAGTAAGTTATAAGAATAATTTGGATATATGCAACAGAATAATACATATCATAAACAAAAGATTTTCTGTATTTTTTTCTGTTATAGCAAACAGTATTTAATTTCTTTTTTTGTTATTTTAATTAATTTGTTTTAGGTTCTGTTGTTATTAAAAACTGGAAACCATTGAGTTTTGAAAAAATCGCCGAGAGCCCGCTTATGACCGTCGGAGACATACTCGGGGAGTTGTCAACTATAGCTACTCTTAGGATTCAAATATTTAGGTAAGTAAAACTTTTTAAATTCGTTCTTAAAAAGGGTTTGAACCATTTTAAATTATCCTCAACATGCTCTTTCAAGTCAAGTTTTTGATTGAGATTTTAACATGCTTTCTGGCCTAGCGAGAAGAATAGTAACAGCAAGTACGTAAAGATAATGGCCAACACTATGGAGCATTATGTGACACGTATAATTATTGTGGCTATTAAGATTAACAAATAGGTTTAGGAATTAATACAATGAGAAGTCCTTGGCTTTTAGATAACTTATTTACCTTAACTGAAGGCAAACAATCTATGCAACATAGTTCAGGCACTTAACGATAAAGAAAAACCTATTATAATAATGTGCCTTAATTTTACTACTACAAAGAACATTTTTATTTAGTATATACCATATCCGCATAGTGAAAACGAAAATATTAAAAAATTATTGTAAATAATTTTTTATCAATTAAGAAATGCATCTATTTTGTTTTGAATTTTAACAGAAAATTGAAGTTTATTCTTCATTTGGCATAGTCATCTGTTAGAACTGATTTGACAAGTATATGTTATTGACTTTTAAAGATTTAAGTATTCCAAAATCCAAGTAAAAGTTCTCGCTTGAAATTAATTCTAATTATATCAAAAACATTTTCATAGTTAAGGTTAAACGTTTTTAGCCTATAAGCTCATAGGCTGATACAAAAACTGAGCAATATTTATTTATCAACTTTTGCAAGCTTTCACACCTCCTCTGAAGTTTAAATTTTAACTAATTAATTTATAAAATCTGTGATTTGTATTGATCGTTTTGTGGTTTGTTGACAAATTATTTTATTTCAGAAGTCGCCCGAACGCTTTGTCCGACATGAAAGACAAATTGCTTAGACTTCTTCTTGTACAGTCGCATTCTATGCTGCTTTCTTCCGGCTGCCCGTTGGACGAAGTAAGTTTTGTTGACCTTTTTGTGAAGTTGTTTTTGTGACCTTTATTGCATGCTATTAGTAAAGACTTGTTTATCCCTAAAAAATATAACTACAATTGTCAATTTTTTATAATAATTAATTGGCTGTGAATCGAATCGTCCACGATGTAATTTTCACCAAAAGTCGGGGTCAAAACGAACCCGTAAACGCCGCAAAAAAAAAAACAACCACAATGGAAACGAGTGGAAGGGTAAAAAACCGTGCCTCCGGTCGCATGGAAACAATAGCGAGATGATCAGATGCGGAACAGCGTTTTATCAGGATTATCCCGGATACTCGTGTTGCCAGCCGGAGAGGAAATGGATCGCATGTCCTAGGAGAGAAGGCTATCTCCAGATTCGGATCTGCCTGACAGAGGAAGTAGAACCCACTCATCAGCAGATCTGTAAAATCTGTATATTTTTTTTTCATTTTTGATTTTTACATTACGAAGCGATCGACCAGAAATAGCCGGTTAACTTGGCGATTTGCAAGCCCGAGCCTGATGAAATCCCTATTAAGATAGTTCAATCAGTCAAAATGTATGTAATACATTTTTGTTTCCCATTTTCCAAACCTTCCTATGACTAAACCAGCAAGAATCCGTGGAAACGGAAATCTAACTCGGCTCCGATTTTTGGGACTTTTCAATTGATCATTCTGTAAAAATCATTTTTCTCATTTATTCCTGAAGTGTACTGCGTAAGTTGTTAAATTTTTACTTTTTGAAAATAATTTTTATGTACATGAATTTTCACTGACAATAGACGTACCGAGATGATCATAGGATGGTTTTTTATGGTTAAATTCTGAGCTTTATTCGTTAATTTTCAACTGCCTATTTTGGAAAAATGTTTTCTTTTTAACTTGTCTTACTAATCTATTAAAAAATTATTTAAATTTTGCATTTTTTAAACAAGTAATCCATGAAATTCCACCGAAAATTGGCTTTTTCGTTAATTTTCAACTGCCTACTCTGGAAAATGTTTTCTTTTTAACCTGCCGTGTTGATGTTTCGTGAATGTTTAGCTTTTTCGTGACTTTTCAACTGTTTACTCGTTTTTTTTTGTTTTTTTTCTTACTGCCGTACTAATTTAGTCAATTATTTTATTAGCAATAATATTTTTGGAGCATAAAGAATTCACTGATTTTGATATATTTTACATTCAATTTAGTTTAGAACGGATAAAGACGATATAATTGACATATGGCCAGCTTCTGAAAGTTTTCCTTAGAATATTTAAAGTTTCAAGCTTCTAACCAAAACATTGAGAATGGGCTAATCAGCATAATCAGAAGATGGTCGTTCAATTTTCTCTTTCTTTATACTCAGTTCGGCAAAGATCCCGTATGAGTAACTGAGTTTGTAAATATATTATTATTTCACCGAATATTTTTCCTCACCAGTCCAATAATTCTGGGTAATAAATAATTTACGACACATTGAGATTAGGCGTGCCGGGATAATCGGAGATTATTGAAAAAAATAGTAACCATTGTTGGCTTTCCGATCAGCTGTACCGTGTGTTCTTTATTTTTTAAAGATGTTAAGACTTTTTCAAAACAACCGACAAAAGTGAACTGTATTTTTTTTTAAATATTTAAATAGGAATACAGGCAAAATAAATTACTGAAATATTATATGAATTATGCCTAAACTATTCTAACTGAGACAAGGAGATTATGTGGGAAGATTAGGAATTGTATAGGATTTTGTGATACACATTTTGAAAACTTATTTAATAATGTAATTCGACTTAAGCTGTTTGTCTGCCCAGTAAAATTCCATTTAATTATTGGAAAGAATTAATTTATTAGCGTGAAAGGAAGCGATTCCTTAACCCGCCCTGAGGAATATCGTGTACTCTGAGTGAATATGACCAGACTTCTTTTGTATAGGTTAATGATGTATATATGTATGCTATATCTAGTGTCTACTTTGTAATTGACAATTTGACTTACAAATGAAAGGTTAGCATTTTAGGATATCGGCTTAATATTCAAGACCAGAAAAAGAAATAAAAACACGCAGAGGGCCAGCGATGACCTCAGCTGTTGGTCGACCCCTTAACTTCCCACATTATTATTATGGCTATATTTTTCATGTAATAACACAGCATGTTTAAAGTCATTTAACACGTGTTCATTTTTTGTTTAATTGCATAAGTACCTTCGTTGAAAAATAAACAGTTTTCACTTTAACATTTAATAATGTTTTAATAATCATATTTTATTATGCATTTATATCAAGCTGTGCCTTTCTTAGTTTCTTGTCCTTTGCCATAAATATTACACATTGTGAGAACTTAGGAAGTTGTCTTGAAGGCATTTGTATTCAAATAATTTTGATTAAAAAATTACAATAAGACAATGTAGTAATTTTCCTTTTTCGACTCGTTACTCACGTATTGTATGTTAGTTTGATCCAATGTGAACGCTTAACTGTTCAATTACGGAAGAATAAGAGCTGAGCCTTTCTGCTATTTATTTCCCACGTGTCGTGTTTTTAAAGTAATTTTGATGTTCGTTTTAACAAAAGAAAATAAAAACCTGCCATGCCATTAAAACTCGACGGGAAAATTGTACGATAATCCGTTAATAACTGGCAATCGTGAACAAATGCCGTGTTCCGGGAATAAAACATCAATTAAATTTAATAACTTGGGGACGGGATCAAAATTAATTAGCAAAGGCTGATCTGCTAAACCATCCGACATTTAGAAATCAAGCCAATCCCACGGAGACTGAATAATTGTTCAAAAACGCTGGACTACTTGAAAATTTAATACCGATCGATTATTTTAATTTGGATTAACGAGAAAAAACTCACCTAAAAGTGTTAAATGTTTCTTTTATATCTTATAATAAAATCAGGATGTTTGGAAACGTTTTTATGTTACTTTGACGATGCCCATTAGCATGATTTTTAGAAACTTCGTCGTCGAATGAAACACACAAAAGGAAGTCGTTAAATAATTACGCGCCCACTTTGCCTCCCGATGATTTATTACATCGGAATATTCTTCGCATGAAGTGCCAAAGTGTAACAGATATGTTGAGAAGTTTTACGCACGAACCAACAGCCAGCCGGGCGTGAAAACGCCGGTTGCTCCAAATGATGAATGTTACATAAAAGTGGATAAACTGACGCAATGTCGCGGATCAATGGATGTATCTAGGCAGACCACCCTGATCAGCGTATTGCAAAATAATAGTAAAAAAATTCTATTGGCAGTATGTATTGTAAATATACTTTTAAAACGCAGCGGTAACTGGCTTTGGTGAATAGGAGACAACCCCAGCTTGCAATGACTTTTGAAATTCACGTACCGATTTTTTCCTTAATTCTTTTACTGGTTATTTTTGACTTTCTGTACGAAGAAAATAATATTTAATAAGAAAAACCTTTAAATACAGCTGTAAAAGTTTATGGCAAATAAGAGAGAGCTAAAAATCACATAATACACTCCCTTCAAATCATTGCTAGTTGGAATTTATGGAATTTACCTGTACTAAGTTAATTCTTCCAGATAAATTTGGCTACCAACTCCATAGGCACACAACGAACGCTTTGCGTGCTTCTGTGGATAATTTGGCCAGGTGTCAAGTCACTTCTCTCATAAAGAGGCCATTATGTGTTAATGGTGAGAAGTCAATAATAAAACTTTATCAGTATCGACAATTGATCGTTTTTTAATAATAATTAAAGTGGTGAAGGGTGGTTTGATTTTAATAATGATGATGACGGATAATAGTACGCGAATCAAAACACATGTCACCACGTTACTGGGTACGTCTACCCCTGACTGTGGGATGATGTCTTCTTTTTTTTTCAAAGTATCTGTTTTTAATACACGCAAAAAAAAGAGGTGTCATTTTTACGTATAAAAACTAGGTATTGAGATTAATAGTTAACTTGAAACGAAATACGTCATTAAAAATTTGTTGTTTACCATAAGGAGTGTTTATGTGACTTTTGACTAATACTTTTACACTCTTGCGATTAAGAATAAAGAATATCAGCTTAATTTTATCCTTTCCAAAGCCAACTTGTCGAGTGAGTTAATTGTTTTCTAAGTTGTCCTCTTTGATGGAACAATAAATTTGGGTAAAATTTTTTTTAAAAGCTTGGTTTTAAGTCCAGATCTCCCCCGGCATATGCTTTGGCCAACGACATTACACCCCTTACACAATCCTGGGTGTGCCGCGCTCTACCATCCACGATAGCCTACAGCAGTTTAGGGGCCACGGAAAGTCTCGATCGAAAGGAAGGTAGTGGTCGCCCGCGCGATGTAAGACAAGTGTCTTACCGCACTAAAGAACCGTCAATTAACGGCTCCTTTCTAGGTAGTGAACTCTAAACGGTCCGTAATGTAACGATGAGCTCTAAAACAGTCATCAAAGGTTTCCTGAGGGCCCAGCCTCTAGACGTCCCGCATCAGGTTCTCTACTACTGGAGAGGCATCCGACTATTCGCAAATCAGCATCTCGCTTGAACAAATGAACAATGGGTGCTGTTCTCTTCACAGATGAGTGCCGATTGGTTTATGGCTATAGGAAGACCGGGACCTTGTGTGGTGAAGACGTGGAGAACGGTTTGCTTCGTGTGCCATGCGTGAGTCACAGCTTTTTCAAGCATATTTATGGTATGTGGAGGAATCAATGTCAAGGCCCGTGCCAAACCGATTACCATACAGAAACGATCGTTGACTGCAAAGCGTTCATGAAGGACGTTCTTCTGTAATTCGCGGTTTCATTCGCTCTTTTTTGAGACAACTTCTTGTTAATGCATAATAATGCACGACCGCATATAGCATGTGTTGTTATATATTAAAATAAGTATGTTGTAATTAATATTACCGTAAAATACATATAGTTTGAAATAAACAACAAAACAAGAGTATTCGTTGAGGAAAATGTGAAAGAAAATTTAATAAACATAAATGTATAATTTAGGAAATATTCTCGGAACGGATATTAT